TTGCTTCAAACGATACTCGCACTCAGTTCTCTTGGATGGGGTTTATCGACTATAAGACTTTGCCGAACTGTCTACAGTCGGTAAAAGTCTCCAGCGAGGGTGCTTCATAGGTTGCTATTTAATTAAAGTCCGGCCAGATAGGGAGGCAAAGTTTCTTTCTCCAAATCACACCTTCGTTAAGGCACTCAGATACACTGGTAACATACTGGTTGAGAAACAAAGCACAATTGAAAATAGCTGCTTGTGTTGCAATAATTCGGTTTGGAGAGTGCCCTAGCTTCTTCCTCAAAGTAGCAACCTCACATGAGGTCGTCTCGAACAGTCTATTACCTCGCGCACACCTCATGACACGGTGGATTACGACGGAGCAACTGATTCAGAAATGCGCGGTTTGAAGGAGCCAGCAAGGTCATACAACTCGTCTGGACACGCCCCTCCCTCATTTCAGGGGAGGAAGGGGAAGTCCATGCATCGGCGTTTGCTTCGCCCCTTTTTTCATTTTCAGTAAACTCTGCATCCAAAATTTCATCATCGACTAAAGGGGGAGTGTGTGTTTTGAACCATGCCAATTGTGTACTTTCCAGGCTACATGTACCATCCAGAAGTGCATAATGTGGCGGAAATTTCTGAACAATTTGGGAAATCGACAATTTTCATGACTGCCACACCCTTGTAAGCCTAGCTCAATTCTTCAATTTTATTCACAATGAAACATTGCTCTCCAAAAGAATCGCTGATAAAAAAGTTAGAGTTTTAAAAATTTAAAAATTATGGATATCGATGACAAATTGGGTTAACTTCTACTTTGGGGACACCCTGTCTTTGTGATTTTTGGATCAGGATTTGGGGTCAACAGGAAATCCATGGCGGTGGAAGAAATGCGCCGAAGGGGTTGTAGACGTGTAAAAATCGCTGTTTCACCAGTTGCATCCCACCACCCCTCTCTATCCCAGCCCTATGCCAATTGTGGAGCAATTTGCGGCAGTTGAAGTGTGCCAAGAGGTAACGAAGAGAATAGCAATAGGTTTTTCCTTATTCCCTCAGCCGATAATCTATTCATTGAAACTGTACAAAACTTACAAGTTTTCATCGACGTCTTCCTCATTCTCCATCATCGTCTCATATTCTTCCGAGCAGAAACGTTCCCAATCGGATAACTCTCTACCCGTCTCGTCAAGTACTCGTTCAGAACCTGAAACCCTCACATTTTCTGGCAATGTTTCTCAATAGGCACGGATTACCGCTAAAACTCAAAATCTGGGATAATGTAAACCCAAATGCTACACACCTTCAGTGACTTCTTGGGTGTAGAATTTGCGCCAGTTCACAAGTGCATTCAGTAGGCGTACGCTAAGCGGTGATTTCTTCAAATCCGATAATTGGAATGAAGTACCGTTCACCGGGCATATCATGTCGAACATCTAAAATAGGAAAAAGTAGAAAAAATGTGTCATGGGATAATAAACTCAGTGGTCCGTGGGTGTGGGTCAAGAGATCCAACGCGCGGGAACGTGCAGGGACGGCAGAGGCAACCGGTAAGGAAGCTTTAACAGCGAAAAAATGCGCGACGTCGCTCAAGGCGCCGCACTGATAGCTCGCTGACCATATAGTGAGCAATGACACCCCTAATGTATGACTATTCAGTATTATACATAAATATTATTTTGGGAAGGTAGGGACCAACCACCTTTCCCTTTACTGGAGCTTGCCTCTTGTGAGATAACTCTTTTGACTCAGCCTCACTCTAAAACCATTACCTTAGACTGGTGATATGACCCAAATTGCATATTGTAAGAACAACTACTAAATACCCAGAAATCGGGCGTAGACCTCCCCTGAGAGCGAAATTCGGGACAACAAGCCAATAAAAACGAGGGTTCGTCTACTTTAAAACGATCTCCTATCAACGACAAATTCGTGATCCAGGAAGCGGATCAACAGACTTCCGCTCAACCTGCTGATGATCCTTTTGCCCTTGATGCATAGAAGACAACTTCATCTGCAGACGTGCGACTACAGAACACAAGGGCGAATTCGATATCCTAGGTGAACCATGGGCTAAAGTGGCGCCGTGGCAAGTGGCGCTGCATGGTCAGATCGTAGCCGGTACATGGTTAAGTTCTTGATTATACGCAATCCACGCGAACCGAGCCTTCCATCCCTTCTGGGTCGGTTTGTTGATACAGAATTGTCTGGGAAGATAAAAACACTGACTCACACATCCTATAACCCCGCAATTCATTGCTGCGCTGAATCGCACCTCAATTGGCCACTTTGATTCCGGTGGATAGGTGAAAGCATGGCGCATCCCATAGAGAGACTGATCAGTGCCAAGTGTTTTTTTTTCAATATTCTTTTTTATTAGGAAAGGTGAATAGTTCAAAAATCCTAGGCCTGGCCCCACTACATACATTCAATCACTAATCATGTGCCATTTCCCGATGTGGAACCGTTGACGTTTCTGTGAAGGAAGGGAAGCCCAGTGAGCATCGCCTGGACAGCAACTTTGTCCCTAGAGGCTAACCCATGAAGGCTAACCCATGAGCCCTCACGTTAAATTTTCATGGACAACAGCCCAGTAATGGATGGTGAACCAGTGACATAGTTGCTTAATGGACATACTCTGAATAACCGGTTTTGGGGATCAACGCGGTAATGTCAGTGCGGTAATGTCAGTTGTTAAGTCTTCACGCAAGCGCAAGGTCGGAGATCAGTTTGGAATGCAATTTCGGTGAAGATCAGCCGAACGCTCGAATGCACACTTGAAAGCAGAACAGAACAGGAAAATGAAGTTCCAACGAACCTGACACGCCACATCTTTAAACGACATTGAATCGATGCCTTCCTCAGTTAGCTTTGCTATAACCGGTTGATGAAATCGTTTCCATTTCATACATTGCAGTACTCAGATCCAATCTCCATCCTCATGCCCAAGAACTCGGAACCAGTATTCCAGGCTGAAATAATGTGCCATTACATGAAATTGTTCATGGAAAACTTGTTGAACACCACACTCTTAATGGCACATTACGCGACCAAAACAGGGACCAATTCTTTCCAAAAGAGAGTTCGCTGGCCTAGTCCACTACTGGCCAGATGCAGCAGGCCAATTTTTGGAACTTGCTAAATACCATGGAAAAACTCAGCCTAGTTGGATACTTTGCAACCACTAGCTACCTCAAGCACACACGAGTGTCTGCCGTCTCGCTCCCCTCCATGCTATCTCGCCTCGGTCTGCCCTCGCTTTGCCTCACAGTGTCTCATCGACTATTTGTTTCCCGACTCTACCACCAACCAAAAAAAAAGAAAAACCTTATTCGGGACGTTTTCAGTGTTTCACCTTCCTGCACCTCTTTTCTCTACTCCGAAGCCTAATTAGCACCAACCACATCATATTGAAACCCCATATCTACCCCGATTTCGCCAACGCGTAACGTGCCTTTAAGCTAGTCAAACCGAACCTCGTTGGGTGAGTTTTATCCTCTTCAGCTAGCAAAAAGTTGGTAAAATCAATGAGATTCATGGTATCCTTCCTAGTGGTTCGCACAGCACGAGAGAAAATTCGATTCAGAACGAGATCAGTGATTGCTGAAATGAGAACGATCGATACTCATGGAATACACACACCGCACAATATTCAAGATTTCATGTTATCAAAATCCTTCTACCCTACAATACCGTAGATAAGTTCTCCTTCAGGCTTCGCGGAAACGCACACTTTCCCGTACGCCCCTCCTATTTTGCGCTACAATGGATTTTTACGTGTTTACATGCTAGAAAACAAAACTTCGTAACAAATCAATCGATTTAAACAATTTTGACTATCTTGTTATTTTGAAAAAATCATAGAAAATAAAATGGCGACTTTGGCTATCGAATTTAGTTTCAAGCGAACTTATCTACAGAATTTTAGGCTAGTTTGTGAGAGACTCGGATGTGAAAGCGGCGAACGTTTCACTTACTCATGAGTGGACGTCAGAGAGCAGAAAACAGCTCTGTTTCTCTGGACCCTGCCCACATCCAAGTTCATTAGAGAGCAGGTGAGATAAAACGTTCATCATCAAAGAAGCGTAAAGAACTTACCACCGTCTTTGTGCATTCTCATATCAGCTTTGCTAACTATTTGATCATGGTTCGTATCGATTTCCCAGAATTTGCAGTAGATCACATAAAAGTGCTCATAACTGAAAAATTAGGATTACTGGAATACTTGCTTTGAAAGCTCAAGTTTTAAAAGGTTAAAGAGTAACCTTACTGAAAATCACGAGAAATGTGACGGTCAGAGCACATTCATTTTTTATTATTACGTGCTATTATTTCGAAGTTTCAGAGAGAAAAACCGGATAATATTGATTTTTATGAAGTGAATTTTGCTAAGTAGCACTATATGGGCCACATAAGATGCTTAATATTAGCTAGAAATATGGTCCAACGACCGGAAACAGCCTGGTGCGGAGGTGCCGAAGTACGCTTACACGCCGCGACAGAAACGAATCAACCCAAAAATTTTGAAGATCTTAAGCGCTGGATTCTACAGATATTGACGGTACTGCTTAGTGATACTTACTATGCGCTTAAAGGCACGGGTTGCGTTTGGATCTCTGAAGAAGTTCTTTCCTAGAGTGGGTTAGGTACTGTCGCGACTGAAAGTGCGCGACAAGGGAGCTAATGCCTTCACTTGACCGCTGCGACCGCTGCCATTCTATCAATCGCAGCATACGTGGCGTCTGCGCCCTCTCGCGTACGACGTGCTCTCTCGCGTTTTCCCTCTTTTCGCAACGCTGTGCCTCTCCGTTATACCACGGATGACCTCATAAAGGAGATTACACTATTTTCTATGTGCTTTTTGCATTTTTCCGTTCCTGTTTGCACTTCTTGCCATAACTTCGAACAAAATAACACACCAAATCGATCGCGCTCCGTGCCTTTAGGTCAGAGTAAGATGAATGCTTGTAGCATTTAACACATTAACATATCAACGGTACTAACGGTATCAGTTGTTCTGGGGAAAAGATTGAAAATCAAAAAAAATATTTCATTGTCGTGACACACCTCTACGTTGACAACCTTTTTTTGCAAAAAATGGATCAATAGTTTTTAAGAAAACCCACTGAGTATGGAGCCATTGGTGCAACATTGGGTCAGGCACATGGAGGGAAATTCAAAAATTATTCGTTATACTTATTTTATAAATTTTCAAGCTACAATAATGGCAGTTTGCTTTTGGGGATCCCACAAAATCATGTATATCACTACTCATGAAATATTTTATCGATTGCTAGTCACAGGCGGAAAATATTATATAGATGCAGGCACAACGCGATCCGAAATGGGTTCAAATTTGCAGGATGGGAACCTAGGGTCTGTTCTGCACTATATCTGCCCAGAAAACTGTACCTATTGACCTATTTGTACCGCCTGTTCCAAGCAAAAATCAATAACTATCAAACACAAGCAGGCTTACCTGAAATATCGTACATCGCGATTAATATCGAAATCTTCTTGAAGTAGTCGTATACGCTCGAGCAAGTCTGACTTTCGCAAACAGTCAGACGTAATCTTTCCCTTCCAAACGCAACCAAGATTCCACATGATTCTAGCGATAACCTAAATTCACAAAATAGGGATTAAAGTAACAGTTGTCCGCAAGAAAAATCGTTAAAAAATACTAGCCAACGGATCTTTACACTTCTAAATTCCTCTTAACTCGGCTTATTAAGGATGAGGAGCTCAGTCCTCAAGGGCACCGTA